AGTGATCACCCTCTGGCAAGTGCTGAATCTTCTGGGTTTTATTTGGCATTTAGATCTAAATTTATACCATACCCAAATTCGCAATTAGCCAATCAGAAACCCTGTGTACTGTCCTCATATCTTGCGATATCAAGTTATTGATATAAGGCTAATTTACGAACAAACTCACTACGATGGCACTTTTAAGCCAGCTACGGGTTGACCAGACATGTCGTTTCTTGGTCTAGTCTGGCCTTAACGTAAAAGCAGGAAAGTTTTAGGTCATCATCAGATTTCCAGACTACAACAGAGCATATAAAATATAGATTTAGATACTTACGAAGGCATTTAGGAAGAGTCTTGATGACTTCTCCGTTCCATTTCCAACTTGTATCAGGTCCACACTCGTATTCGATAACAGCGCTACTGGAAAATGCCATTCCATTTTTACAGCCCAGTGTACATCCTTGCTTTCCCGAGTAACTCATACACCGTTTATATCCATTCACTGGTTCATCCAACGGCTCGCACTCTGTTGAGGAAAACGAGAAACGCCAAGCTCATGTAAAGTTGAATGACAAACATAAGAACAGATAAACTTGAAACAGACGAGATGCAATGTGTTTGAAACAATTGAAAAACAGAGAACCAAACTTACCAATAAAAGCTTTCGAACTGATTTACGATTAACAATTACACAAGTGACAATGGACAACTTATTTACCCTTTTCATCGTTGATAGCCTGTTCACAACGGCTTCCCCAAAATCCTTTGGGACATTCGCACCTGTACGAGTTAATGCCATCTATGCATTTTCCACGGACGCAGGAGCCTGGTGTACAGTCGTTTATGTTGGTGTCACAATGTGTACCTGTATATCCCACTTGACATTTGCAAACCATTTCGTCTGCGGTACGGTTTTTACATTCAATTATATGGGAACAGTTCTTTTCACACAATTCCAGGGCTGTAAAGAAACATCTTGCGTGTAAATTGAAATGTAACCCTAGCTAAACCTGTCTATCAAGGAGTTTTATTCAGTTAATATATTACACCATTGTTCATGTCAAATGGTTACTTTTGCAGTCACGTTGGTTTTGCGGTCGTCAATAAAGTCGTACATGTTAAAACCTCAGGAGCTAAACAATCCTTTTTGGTTGTCGAACGACTGCAAAGGGAACTATAAAATAGCAGCTAGCTGAGAAAGATGGGGAATACCAAAGGTAACAAACTCCAGGCCCCTAACTGCTGTTCTGTTTAAGTTAGATGTGTAGAAAGATATGCAATATCGGTCTGGCTCAGCTCCTTTTCCCTTCTTAATGCATTATACCTGATGAGAAAGTTTATATGAAGACATGATTGATCATCGCAGTCATATACACAACTTAGGCAGAAATAAAATTAAAGCGTGGGTTCGAATCCCGTTCGAACCTGAATGTGTTTTTCAGGCTTCAATTTCACAACTGCTTAAGTTGTGATGTACGTAAGTTTGATGTACGTTTGCTAGGGACGTGCTAAAATAAATATCAGAAGCTACCAGAGGCAGACAAAATCCCCCCCCCCCCCAAAAAAAAACCCTGGGGTTTTTTCGACACGCTACAAAGAGGAAGAGTCATGTGAGTGTTACCCCAATTAAAACATCACACATCGACAAGAATCCCCCAGAAATCGGCTAAACCGCCTCCTTAAAGCCACAACAACATTTTCCTCGGTAGCCAAGACTTGTGTGCGAAACGTAAACATCTTCGTTTGCATGGTTTTATCATGCGAGAAGGAGCACGCCCCACCTTTGGGAAAAAGACTGGCCAGGGCATTTTCTGGGGTCGCGATACCAACAGTGGCAAGGAAACCCCTAGAAGCCCAAGTTCACTAGGCCTGTGATAACGCTTCGCTTACCTTTGCAACTCGTAGGAAATCTCTTTTGGGTATTGCCTTTTAAACCAAATATGAATTCAACCCAGGCCTTGACATCGCCACCAATAGGCCACGCACACCTATGAGCAGCATTCCACATGTGACTGGTGCTTCCGAGGGTGAGCCATATGTGAAACTGATGCATTAACCCGGCGTAGGAGTCCTCTATAATGTACCTGTCAGTTTTAGAAGAGTATTTTTGTCCTAACACCATGTAGCCTCCCCTTACCAGAGACGCACCAGTAGGTACATTAACTCTATCAAGTTCTTGACCATCCAGGTATAGGCAAAATATACCCAGATCTCCACTCCAAATTACTCCAATAAAATGCCAATTGCCATCGATTATACGGCAAGGTACGTCAAGTAAATCAGTTTTGACCTTGACTTGAAGTTTTGAGTCCGTAAAAAAGATCTCAATTCTTTCTTCTGGAGAGCCTGGCACGTAATAACTGAAAGGTGTACCATTGTGGTAATTCTCATCGGCATTCAGCCAGAAAGCTATGGAAATGTTGGCTAAATTTGGTTTGTTTCCTTCGTCAGCGACAATTACTACGTCTGTTGACGTCTTGCGATTGAACAGTATATCAAAGTTGTCGCCAAGAGCTGTCATAAAAAATCGAGTGAAAGGAGATAATTGAGTGTATAAAATTCATGAGTTCAAGTTAAAATAATAAGTAAATAAGAGCAAAATTAAAAGGGGCTAACAACCAAAGATTCTTCTCCCGGTAAACAAGAACAACATTAAATTAACTCTTGATATAACCTGATAACCAAATTATTACTGAATGAAAATTAAAATACTTCAATTCCTTTTTTGTGCGGGGTCAATCTTTATTGCATTTTCAAGCAAAACACCTGATGTTTAGTTGTTAATCTGCTCTTGATTCTGAGCGCCTCAATGTGGAGTTGGAATTTTGAGTCAGAGTATGAGTTAAAATTCTTTATTCTACACTTGAACTCAAACTCGAAATTCGGACTCGAACTCATGAAATTGACAGTCAATAAAACTATCTAAGATTTTTTTGGTATAAATGTACTAGGGTTCCATTTTAAATAACCTAGTTAGCAGTTTTCGGTTGCTAACGAAATGGTGGCCGCTTCTTTGCGTTTTCGAAACGTCTGTGAAGAGGAATTAGATAAGGTTTTGAACGACCATTGATTGATATAAAAACGCTTACATCATTCGGTCTGTTCCCTTAAAATCTCGAGCTCATAATGTAATATAGGCCATTCCCTAGTTGCCTGTTGCCTCTGCGTCAAAACGAGTCTTTGTACGAAACCATTCATACGAAAATGTGTTCTACCTTGTGGTTCATTTTCATGCAAATCAAACTCAATTTCATATGAAAGGTTTTGCTCGAGGACTCGGTTTGAAACAGAGGCACAAGGTGACTGAAATGGCCTATTGTTAAGTAGACCTACCTATCCCACAATCCGGACCAGTATGTGATGGATGACACACACACTTGTAATCGTTAATCAAGTCGACGCAGTGGGAGTTCAATGGACAAGGGGTAGACAAGCAGTCATTCACGTTTTCCTCGCAGATCTCTCCAGTGAAGCCCACGACGCATGTGCAGTTGAACTCAATGGCGTTAATGGGTTTGCAGTTACCGCCATTTAAACAAGGAAATGCTTCACAAGGATTATTGGTAATCTCGCAGAACTTTCCAAAAAGTTTGCCAGGGCAAAGACATTGAAAGTCAGCAACAAGGTCAACACAAGTGCCATTGTTTAAACAAGGGGATGAACTACACTCGTTGATATCATTTTCGCAAAATGTTCCGTTAAATCCATTTACGCATGAACAGGAATACCTGGAAATATGGTCAACACAGCTTGCATTATTGGCACATTTATTGTCTACGCAATCATCAGTGTTTACGTCACACAGCTCGCCCGTAAATCCTGATGTACAACGACATGAAAATGCGTTTACTCCATCGCTGCATGTGGCACCATTTGCACACGGACTTGACGCACATTCGTCAATATCAATCTCACAAATGCTTCCTTCAAATCCAGCAGAACAGTTACAGAAAAACCCATCAGGCCGGTTCACGCAGTAACTTGTGTTTTTAGTGCAATTTGCTTCTAGACAGTAATCAGTCATATGTTGACAGAGGTTTCCATAAAACCCCATTGGACAGGAACAGATGAAGTTTGACACACGATCGACGCATTGTCCTCCGTTTTGACACGGCTGCGCCTCACAGTCATCGATGTTGGTTTCACAATTGCTCCCAGAAAACCCTCCAGAACAAACACAGGTGTAGTTGTTAACCTTTAAATGATACATAAATGAGAAATTGAATTAATCGAATGAATTGGTGTAAGACATTGGCGCGATAAATGATTAACAGAGACACGCAATGCAAGAAAGAATAGTATGTTCAAGCATGTGTATATCGTTAGCCCTCTACTTACGTCGCCCAAGCTTTGGGCAAGCGCTCTTATTTAAACTGACGTGGGCTTGGTTCACGTTGTTGGTATCAAAAAAATTTTCAGCATAACGGTATAACCTACCTCATCAATACAAGTAGAACCGTCTGCGCACGGGAAAGAGTCGCATTCATTTATTTCTTCTTCGCATAATTTCCCTGTATATCCTGGGATGCAATTGCAATGGTAGACATCTATGCCATCAATGCAAGTTGCAAACACAGAGCAATTGTGTTCTGCACAATCATCAATGTTCACTTGGCATTGGCTTCCTGTAAACCCTGCAGGACACTCACAGCTAAAACCGTCAACAAGATCAGTACATGTCCCATTGTTATGGCATGGCTGGCTAACACATTCATCAATGTTAACGCTACAGGTTTTTCCGGTATAACCTGAAAGACAGCTGCATACGAAGTCATTTATGCCGTCACTGCAGGTTGCCATGTTTACGCACGGCCTTTCAGCACACTCATCGATGTTCGTTTCACATTCTAGTCCTGTAAAACCGGGACTGCAGTAACACCGGAATTCGTTGATACCATCAAAGCAAGTTCCACCATTCTGGCATGGGCTTCCCCCGCACTCGTCAATGTTAATTTCACAGTGGGTACCACTAAATCCCTCAACACAATGACACTCAAACTCGTTAATCCCGTCTAGACAGGAACCGTTATTTAAGCACGGATCCGACTTGCATTCATCAATGTCAATGTTGCATGTTTTTCCAGAAAACCCGGGAGAGCAGTCACAGCTATAATCTCCATAACCATCTATGCATGAAGCATTGTTGGAGCATGGCCCAGAGCTACATTCATCAATGTTTTGCTCGCACGAAATTCCATCAAATCCTTTGAGGCATCGACAAATATATTGGCCAACTCCATCAATGCAGGTGGCGTTATTTTGGCATGGTTCTGTGGCGCACTCGTTGATTTCAAATTGACAGTCGTTTCCGTAAAACCCTCTTGGACACAAACATGAATAGCCATTGGTCTGATCTGAGCAGCTTCCGTTGTTTTGGCATGGACTAGAGAAGCACTCATCAATATCAGTTTGGCAGTGATCACCAATAAATCCTGCCTCACACTGACATTTGTAGCTGTTAACACCGTCAATACAAGTAGCTCCATTTAAGCAAGGGTTTTCTGGTAAACAGTCGTTGATGTTTTCTTCACAGTTTCGACCTCTAAATCCTGTGACACACTTGCACTGATAAGAATTGAATTTGTCAATGCAAGTGCCGCCATTAAGACACGGATTAGATTTGCATTCATCCTCTTCTAGATCACACTTTTCTCCAACGTAGCCTGGTTCACAGTGGCACTTAAACGTATTGGCAAGATCTTCACAAGTAGAATTGTTTAAGCACGGATTAGACTCACACTTGCCGACATCTTGATCACAGGTCTTACCAGTAAAGCCAGGGATGCAATCACAAGCGAAATCATTTATTTGATCTTTGCATGTGGCTTTATTAAGGCATGGAAAGCTGGCACATTCATCAATGTCTACTTCGCATTGTTCACCAGTGAAGCCAGGGATGCAAGTACAGCGGAAATCTGCTATAAGATCCGTACAGCTACCATTGTTTATGCATGGATTGGAATCGCACTCATTTATTTCTGTAAAGAAAACAGGTGTACCGAACTTAGCATATTCCATCTAACTGTGTAATGCTGACTGTTTAAAACATCAAGAATCGTGAGACACAGATTTTAGGCACGGCATAACAACCCAAACATACCTATGCAGCTTGAAGAACTAGTTGAGCCACTTTGAAGAGTAGCCTTTGTTCCAGAACAATTAATGCAACTCTTTTGCTCAAATTTGGGTTGGTATGATCGTCTGTTGCATGGTACACAGGGCTTCAGACCAGTTTTTGAAAAGGTTCCAGGCTGACAAGGTTCTGAAAAAGTAGATAAAGATTTTTTCCCGCTGAATGTAAAGCAATATCACAGGAAATTCCCTTTCTTAAAGACATACGCTCTTAACAATGTGTGTGAACGATGTGAAAACAATGATCAAAATGAAAATCTGCATCTAAACATTCAGGTGGCGACTGTTTGGGGGTATTAGCGAGTCAACAGTCGACTTTGTTATGGCTCGGTTGTTCACGGTTTATTTTCTTTCTGCATTCTTTATAGGGTCTAAATATTTGGTGTGTCTATTTCGCAAGCAAGCCATGCATTACTTTAAATACACCTATATTTAGTAACAAACACAGTGAAAAAGCATGAATCCTGTGTAGATGTGTATCAGGAAGGCCATGTCTTA